AGCAATGTCAATATCAATTAATGACATATATACGAAAGAGTCTGATGATAGCTCAGTACTAACAATCATTCTTAAAAATTTAAACACTGATTTCTAAACACTGTTTCCCAACGGATTAAAAATAAGTGATGGATAAGTGATGGGTATCTTATTGTTTTGGGATACAATAGTGTTCAGATTAATAGAATCGTAAAAAAAAGGCTAGATTTAAACATAATGAGTATATAAAAATCTGAGTCCCTATTAATAATAAAATATCCTTTTTTCTATCACCATTGGATGTGATATTCTAACACAGAAAATTGGTACTTAAGGAAAATGAGCATATGTTCTGCCATTTCAGAAGGAATTATAGTTCTAATCATGAGAAAAGCTGTTCCTTTCGTGAGTGCCAGAACTAACAGAATTAGAAAGTCAGCATTTTGTAAACATAATATGACTGTTGCTTCAGGGAAGATATCATAGGTATTAAAGCCACTAGGATAGATGATGGGGAACTAGAGGGTCATCATACCTAACCTGTCCAGACTAGTAACTGACAAATGGGGAACTACTTTTACAGAGAGATCTGGGTGTCACAACCTCAACTCAGTGATCAAACTTAACCTCAGTGATAATGGGACAGCAAGACATTGGTCACATGCTTCTTGGCGAAATAAAGTATTGAGTACACGGCACACTTTATACTGTGCTTTACTGGCATGACGGGGAAAGGACAGAGCATGAAAGAAGTGGTTGATGGACCCTCAGACATGGTGTAGCTGGTAGACTTGGGCCAGTAAAGAGTCAAGGGTAGACTTATGGGGTACACAAATAGGAGAGTAGTAACAGGGTCTCAACAGACCTCAGAGGCTGAACAGGGAGAGGAAGGAAAGTGAGAGTGAGTGGCAGAAAACTAGGCTGAATCATCAGGCTGTGCTCCCCTGACTGGGGGAGTGATGATACATCACTGTTGTGTTTGTGGATCTATTACTAAATGTCTCTCAGACTCAGTTTCCTCATCTATGGGCTGGAGACGTAGCTCAGTTGGTAGAGTACTTGTCCAGCATGCAAAGCCCTGAGTTTGATCCCCAGCAGAGGAAAAACCTGCTGGGAGTTTGAGGGAAAAGGTAGAATTTTTTCTGGACATGTTTAGTGGGGTCTCAATATAGATTTTATGGGTGGGAATTGTCCAGAGAAATGGGTAGAATTGCTTAGAAATACTACACAAATAAGAGGACCAAGGAAGGTATGAAGGACAACAGCCTATGGAAGGGTGAGGCCTACACTTTAGAGCAGACTAAGACTTGCCAGGCAGGTGGCACTAGGTCAACAAACTATCCTGCTTCCACTGCTGGAATTGTGCTAGGTCCTAAAGTAAGGGGTGTGTTTATCTACACATAGAGAATCTGCTTCTGTAGTGATTTAAAATAACCTTTTAACTGTGACACAGGTTACTCCAGAGGCACCTGCACACCCATGTTTATTGCAGCACTATTCACAATAGCCAAGTTATGGAAACAGCCAAGATGCCCCACCACTGACGAATGGATTAAGAAAATGTGGTCACAATGGAATTTTATGCAGCCATAAAGAAAAACAAAATGTTATCATTCGCTGGTAACGGATGGAATTGGAGAACATCATTCTGAGTGAGGTTAGCCTGGCCAAAAAGACCAAAAATCGTATGTTCTCCCTCATATGTGGACATTAGATCAAGGGCAAACACAATAAGGGGATTGGACTTTGAGCACATGATAAAAGCGAGAGCACACAAGGGAGGGGTGAGGATAGGTAAGACACCTAAAAAATAAGCATTTGTTCCCCTTAACGCAGAGAAATTAAAGCAGATACCTTAAAAGCAACTGAGGCCAATAGGAAAAGGGGAACAGGAACTAGAGAAAAGGTTAGATCAAAAAGAATTAACCTAGAAGGTAACACCCACGCACAGGAAATCAATGTGAGTCAACTCCCTGTATAGCTATCCTTATCTCAACTAGCAAAAACACTTGTTCCTTCCTATATTGCTTATACTCGCTCTTCAGCAAAATTAGAGATAAGGGCAAAATAGTTTCTGCCAGGTATAGAGGGAGTGGGGGGGAGAGGGAGGGAGTAGAGTGGGTGGTAAGGGAGGGGGTGGAGGTAGGGGGGAGAAATGACCCAAGCATTGAATACACATAAGAATAATTAAAAAAAGATAACCTTTTATCTCCTACATAGCTTTCTCTGTCAAGGGCCTTTCATCTACATTGCTGTCTCTTCATTTCCAAACCACTATTCTCACTTGCTTGGACTATCTAACGGTTCAAACTGCTTTCTGTATTATCCATTCTCAATCTGATTCTCTCTAATGCAATTATTCTGTTGGTGGTACTGGGGTTTGAACTCAGGGCCTTGTACTTGCAAGGCAGGCCCTCTACCACTTGAGCCAAGTCTCTAGCCCTAGAACAATTTTTTTGAGATGGGAGTCTAACTGTTGCACAGGCTGGTCTCAAGTACCCTCCCTAGTAGCTGGGACTGGAGACCCGCTCTAGACTTCTCTAAAGCATGTCCATCTCTTTTTGCTCCCTACCAGCTCACAGAACTGTTCAATGCAGCAGTTACAAATGTGGATCCTGAAGCCAGTACTCAGGTTCAAGTCCCACTTCCACCAATTCCTGTTGATTTGGGCAAGTACAATTGACCAAAAGGAAGTTTGGCACAGTGCTTGGCACACTGCAAATGTGATCTATCAGTATTTAAAATAAAAATCAAAATCCTGCCTGGAGGAGTGGCTCAAATGGTAGAGCACCTACCTAGTAAGTCTGAGGCCCAGAGTTCAAATCCTGGTACCACAAAAAAAAACTAAACCCTTGTCTTGAACCTGGGTAAAATGCCCTCCTTGATGGAGCTTTCTGGCCTTATTTGGAACCCCTCCTCCTCCACTCTTCCTGCACCACCTGCATTCAGGTAAATTATCCTTTGTAATATTCACTTCCTATCTTCCTGATTACAAAACTTCTGCTGGAGACTAGTAATAGGGATTTTATACAGCTTGTACTAAGAGGATGATCCAGAAAAATGCAGACCTGCATGAGACCTTAGAGAGAACTACTACTATTCCCATGTTCCCAGTTTTCTATCACAGCTGCTCTCCTTGCTCAAGTAGATCTCCTTTTGGTTATTGTGCACAGCTCGATTCCTTGTCCTGTCAGTCCTGAGTCCTGTCAGTCATGAGTGCTGGCCACTCATGGAAGCCTTTCAATCAAGGCAGTCTTAAGGGAATTCAAGAGTACCAGTTGGGGCTGGGGCCCACAGGGGTGCACCAAACATGCACAGTGTTAAGATGGAATACCCTTAAGTTAATCAGTATCACCAAACTAGGAAGTAATAAATAATTGTGCTCTATTAATGGAGAACAAACTCTAAGGCTTGGTCTTCATATCCTCACCTCATTCTCCTTAGCTTGGCAGTGTCCAGATCTACTGACTTAACTGTTGAAAAAAATGAAAGGCAATCAGAGAACTGAGCAAACGTGTTGACTGAATAATTCCCTCCCACCACCTTTCTAGCAGATAAAAAAGGCTTCCTAGGGAAGCATTAAATGGAGCAAATGGCATTGGGGGGTGGGGCAGGGGCGGAAAAACAGTCCTTCTAGCTGTGCTGAATAAAGACGTTTGTTACTTCAGAAATAACTTTGGCAACCAAGATGGAACTTAATCCAATACCTGAAACTATTATAATACCTAAGGGACAGAGCTGGAGCTTGTACTACTTAATTTAACTAGGAAGAGAATTGAATTCGAAGACTGGTATGACATAGGCATGGAGACTTTTTCCAATCTGGCCTGCAGTCACTCCACGGGATAAGCCAGTTACATCTCTTCAAGCTTTTAGGGCTGTCTGGACTCAATTTTTTAAGGAAAATTGTAAGGTGCCCCTAAAGGTATGCCAGAAAATTTGAGACAGAGCTTCACTATATAGCCTAGGGTTGCCTTGAACTCATGAAAATGCCTTCCTGTTGTTGAGTGCTGGGATTAGATGTACACTACCACAATAGCCAGAAACCTTTTAATAAAAGTACAAAACTGTCTTGAAAGTACATGAGCCTTAGACGGTCCTGCTGTTGACACCACTCTAAGATTCTACTAGTAGCCTACTAAGACTAACCAACTCAAACCTTAAATTCCCTCTGAAGAGTCCTAGACATGTATTTAATGAAATCTTAACTTCAATGTTCATTGTATCTTTTTAGCCTTTTTAATAATCCCTCTCATCAACCTCTATTAAGTACTTCTGAATTTAGCATCTTTTCTAATTCAAGAGGACCAGAAAGGGGTGGGGGTAGGGGGGAGAAATGACGCAAGCATATTAAAAAAAAAAAAAGGGGGGGACCACAGGTTAAAGGGAGCTGATGAGTTTATATGCCAGCCTACGATTAAGTTAGTCAAAACCCCTTAAGGGCTGTGTAAACACTAACAAGGTAGGTAGTTCTCAGGCCACATGCTTCAACATTTCCAAAGCTTTGGTAAATTGCTGCCCAGGATTCAATTTAACCAGATTTCCTAAAGATAGTTACAGTTGAGTCTCAGAAGCCAATCTTCACTTGCATGGTCCACCCTATGCTTTACTCCTGGCAACATCATTTTATAGCAGAATAAACCATTTTCTTCATGATTCCCACATTTTTTTTTTTTTCTCTAAACCAGAACAAATCACACTTTAAAGGTGATTTCAGATTAGTTATATAAAGGGCCGGTAATATTTACAACACAACAGTGTACCAACTTAAAAACTTAAGACAACCCAACCATAGGTGGCTATTTCCACTCTTACCTCAGACTCCCGAAACCTTTCAGACAGCAGGCCTGAAAGTATGGCTCAGTGGTAGAGCAACTACCTAGCATGCCTGAGATCCCAGCATTGCAACCCCTCCCAAAACCAAACCAAAAAATCCCACATTAAAACTCAGACACTTATACTCATGTTCTTTTTAAAGCATCATAGGGACAAATGCCACTAAGATAACTAACTCAAAACTTGAATAATATTTTCTTTATTTACAAGTTAGAATCAAGAGACAAAGACAGTCCAGAGGACCAAATGGGGAGATGACTAAAACCCCCAGGGCCCCAAATGGAGTGAGTGGAAGGAAAACAGTAGGGGAAAAAAAAAAAAAAAAAAAAAAAAAATCAACGTTAAAAAAAAAAAAAAAGTGCTCCCCCCTTTTCCCTCCCCATGGAGGCTGAGGGGACCATGGCCCTACCCCTCCCCAAGCCTCATCTAGCTTAAATAAATTAGAACAACCAACCTCAACACAGGGCCCTTTAGAAGTGAACAGGGCAGCTATGGCCTCCAGTAACCTTGTATCAGGGCCTTTGCCCACTCCCACCCTGTATCCCCTGCCCTAAGTCTTATTATTCTGAACAGGGCTCTCTATGCCCAAGAGGTCATTCCCAATGGGGCTGGGAACTCAAGTCTTATTTTGTCCATGTTCCTCCTTCAGAATGTCCCTGCATTCCTCCCCCCTGCAGAGCCAGCTCTCCTTCAGTGTGGGGGAGGGGGGCGGGTGAGATGAAGAAGTGTCACAGCAAGGGGAGAAGGGGTGAGGCAGGGTGGTATATGGGTCCGGTCCTGCGGAGCCTTCCTGCCCCATCTGGCCTAGCCCCTTAGCCTGAGTCTGAATCACTGGTATCTGAAGAAGAGGAAGATGAAGAGGAGGAGCTGGAATCTGAGCTGGAGCTGGAAGCACTGAGGCGTGACACTGCTACTTGCTGTGCAGACGATGACTCAGTTTTCTCACTCACTGCAGAACAAAGTTGAAGGTTAAGGAAGTTAAATAGTCTTATTGTGTCTTCCTTAGAAGAGTATAGCTCAAGTAGAGGCCATATTCAATCTCCAATAACCACATACACACCACACAGAAGTGGGGAGGGCAAGCACTGGTGGCTCAAAGTCTGTAATCCTAGCTACCTACTTGGGAGGCTGAAATTCAGGAAGACTGCCATTTGAGATCAGCCTCAGCAAATAGTTTACGAGACCCCATCCTCAAAATAACCACAGCAAAATGTACCGAGCTTAAGCAGTATAGAGTGCCTGGTATGCAAGCTCAAAGCCCTGAGTTCAAACCCCCACCCACCACCAACAAAAAAGAAAAAGAGGTGTGTAGGAGGTGGATACATTAAATTTACAGCAACCCGGAAGAATACTCACCTTTCTTGGGGGGCTTTTTGGTAGAATTGAGCTGCCCACTAACATCCTGTAAACGCTTTTCTAACTCCCGCTTCTTCTCCAAAGCGAGTTCCTCCTTTGTTTTTCCGACAGGTTTCTTAATGGCTAGGGGCAAAAAAATAGGACTCAGGTACCTAAGTTGTCTTTTATAAGCATGCTGAAGTTATGGTTGCCAAGTTCCATTTTATCACGTATCAAAGAAGCAACCAATGCACCCCGTCACCGGGAAGATGACAATCTTGTGAGCATTATTATACATATCCTACTTCTCTCTCCTAAACTGTCCTCAGAACCACATGAGGACTTCTGGATTAATTGGCAGACCCCATCTGATACTTACTGTAGGGCTTCCGGGGTTTCTTTCGTAGGCAGGATAGGACGTAGCGCTCAAGTTCTCTAAGTGTAGATGGTTTAAGTGTTTCAAAATCAATCTCAATTTCTTCTGGATTTGAGTCACGTAAAGAGGGTTCCCTGGCTTGGATTATATGTACAACTCGACCCAGCTTCTCCCCAGGTAATTTATTGATATCCAGGCTCAGTTGCCGCTTCTCATCATAACTCATGGGCCTGCTCTCTTCTTCCTCTTCTGAATCATAACCAGTAGGCAGGGAAGTTGGAGCTGTCTTTGTGGTCTTTTTGGGTAGCCTATAGGCAACAAAAAATTATCAACAAAAGAAACATAAACCTCTGAATACATTTCCACTGTTCAACCCAGTTAGTAATCCTTAATTCTTGCCTGTAGTGAATCTTCTGATTTTCCAACAAGCAAATGGCTGAGTTAGAGGTAGGCTACTGGGACACTACATTAAAGAAGCAGAGCATTTTACAGCTCTTACATGCCAAGCGGCACTGATAGTGGCAGTTCTTTTGCCTTTTGAAGCACTACTAAACCAAACAAAAAATACACAAAATCTAGATTCACTATGCCTCAGGTAACACATCTTTTTATAAAGTTACTTGTTTTTCTAGAGTTTTATTGGAATACATCTCAAATTACCTATGGCTCTTAAAAACTTGTCACCTAATCATTTACAGTAGGTTTGCTGACCCATTAAACTCTGCAAGGAGTGGTAGATACGGTACCCAAGAGACAAAAACCAAACTAGTCTCTGCTTCCTGTTAGAATTCACTTGTTGCTGGGCAGCCTGAATCACATAGGGAAAAACCAAAAAATCCCACTAACTTGTTGCCACTTGCTCCAGAAGTTCCAAAGCCAGGAGGGCCTAGTGTAGCAGCACTGCCACCCCCACTGCCACTTGCTTTCTTGGATTTTTTGGGCTGTGGTGGGCGCGGTGCCCGAGGCCCCTTCTCATCTTCATCAACTCCAGCTCTGCCTCGATGCTTCTCTGCCTTCCGTTTCTTCTTTTTCTCTTTTTTCTCTCTCTTCCGTTTGGGCTTAGATATTGGGCCCTGAGATAGGGCAGCCAGTTGTTCATGTACTGCCCGAAGCTAGAGAGAGAAAAGTCAGATGTGAAGTGGTCCAAGTAAATTAAGTAACACCAAGGGAAAAAAAATGAGGTTCAAGATAGGGCATGAACCTCTTACCCAGTAAAGACTGAGGAGTGACAAAGTACCTGTTCCTGTAGTTCTGCCAAGCGATGAGCCCTTTCTTCCTCGGAGTCTGAACTTTCACTCTCTTCTTCCTCCTCCTCCTCCTCTTCATCTTCCTCCTCCTCTTCCTCAGAGGAGCTCTCGCTGCTACTTTCCTCACTGGAGGACTCTGAAGATGACTTGGCCAGCCCAGGGGGCAAGGCAGTGGAGACTGGTAAAGGTCCTGGTTCCTGTGGTTCATCTGGCATCTTAGCATAACGGAACTCAAATACATCCTAGAAAAACAGGTATATTTAAAAACATAGGAGTGCCCTGACTATACCCAATTACCCAATGCTATAATTTACAACAGTTAAGTATGGGAAGAGCCTCATGTTAACATGTATGCACAGAAGACATCCTCTCCTCTTACACTCAACATATTGTCAAAACTTCAACCTTTACACTCACCTGTAGCTTTCGTGCCATAGCCACAACATCATGGTCTGGGGGATTGTACTTATAGCAGTTGGAGAACATAAGCCGCACATCAGCAGCAAACTCCTGTGCATCCCGGTAATCGCGATTCTCCATCTTCCGCTGCAGAAGGAGGCAGCATCAGAAGCTGCACAGGCAGAGAGACTCACCTTTCCCTGCCAACCCCAGACACCACAAAAGCACAGTGGGGAATGACTTAAGAACCTGTGCCCTGGGGTTCAAGTTTGAAGTCAAAGGAATTTAGGAGGGTTGAAGAAATATCTATGTCTAGAAAAAGAAATGATTTCTAAGTGATAGGGTAAGTAGCTTCTGATTATGCTTTGTTTCTTTGACCCAACACTCTCATTAAGTAGTACTTAATTGTAAACAGGTATGTTGCTCTGAAAAAAGCCCATCCTTACTGTAGGAAATACAAAATTCAAAGTACTTGACCTTCTGCCTTATTACAAATTTATCAAAAAAAAAAATGCCAAGAATAAAAGACTGCTATATACCCATAAGAAGACATGAATATTGTTTTATTGATCCCTAGGCTCCAATCACTGCCTGAGCATCCCATCTGCCCCATGCAGTGGGTACCTTGACAGTGCTGAGGTCCATGGGGTGCTTAATGATGTCATGGTAGTCATGCAGGCCAAGGGCAGAAGCATCCACTGGTTTATAGAAAGGCCAGGCATAGGCAGCATGCTTCTTAGAGAGTAACTCCTTCAAAATGCCATTGCAATGCTTTAACTGTTCTGATAGCTTTCCTTTCTTAGAACTCTGGTGCTGTTGTTGAGAGTCAGGCAAGTCTTTTCGTGGGGGCTTGATGGGGCGGCCACTCTCTCTACGCACAGGGGGAAGCCGTGCTGCTTTTGGCTCAAGACTCCCAGGAGGGCTAGCTGGGGAACCAGGAGCGAGGATGGCTGTAGGCGTAGGGGTGGTAGTATCTGCTTTCCGCTTAACCCCTTTTTTCTGTAGAAAAAAACATCAGGAACCCATTAATTCGGGTCCACTTCATTTACAACCCTTTTCTCCCCCATTACTGCAACAAATCTATTCATCTATACCTTGGCAAGGGGCTGAGCTGGGGGAGGTACAGACACAGCAAGGAGTGGTGGTCCAGCAGAATGCAGGGACTTGAGAAGGGGAGAAGAGATGACAGATGGATGGGGAATGTTGAGGACAGTGGTAGGTATCTCAGGTGGTGGTGTATACAGAGCTGTGTGTGACACAGAAGAGACAGCAGGCACCTGATGGGCACTGGTAATACTGCCTTGGAGAGCTAGGGAAAAAAAAAAAAAAAAAAAAAAACAAAATTTAAGTCGATTTGCTTTTTTCTCATTTTTGAGGTCCCCATTTGCAAAACTCCTATTTTTCCTACCTGCCAACTTGGCCCCCTTCTTATGGCTGTTCTTAGGGATAGTCACCACAAGTTCTTGCTCCTCTTGTGGCATTGATGCCACTTTCTGTAGGAAGATCTTTTCCAGTGTTTGTGCCATCAAGACAATATCGTCAGTGGGCTACCAAGCAAACACAAATCAAGGTTTCAATGGCCAGCAGAAAATGGATACCATCTCTCAGAAATCCTCAGCGCAACACCAGCTTTCATCACATAGGTACTGTGTCATCAAGTGCTGAAAATTAACCACACCAGGCCACTATTTCTGCTTTTTTTTCCCCAATCATCTCAAAATTCAACCTTAAAAAGTAAAATGGTCTCTTAATATTCACAGTTTAGAAGAGTTAAGAACTGATGAGGAAAGTAGAGCCTGCTCTCCTCAGGTCTCTGGAGCTTTCTGCAAAACAGGGCCACCATCCCCAGGTATGAAATGTGTTCTACTTAAATAACCTTTAGCTATAGAGCTCTGTAGTCGCATTACTATTCAGTAGTACCATTTGGAGCTCAGGTTTTAGACCCCGACTAATGTAACAATACATTTGATAATTAGAAAAAAAAAAAAATTTAAAAACTTATGTAGCCAAAAACGTTTAGCTGTAACACAAGTACTGTCTAGCCAGCTGATGAATACAGAGAACTCACCTTGTTGTAAATATAACAGTTGGTGAACATAGTATTGAAATCCTGCATACATTCAGAGGCAGCCCAATAGTAACTGTTTTCGAGTCTCCTCTTAATTGTACCCATGTCCATAGGCTGTTTAATAATCTTGTGATAATCCTAAAAAACAAAACAAAACAAAACAAAAAACCCCAAACCCCACCCCCAGATCAGAGCCATGAAAAATTAAATTCCTATTCTCCTATGGAAACTACTGACCCCAACACACACACACACACTCTCTCTCTAATCATCAAAGGAGTGTAGTTCCCTACACTGCGGCCCCAATAAAACTACAGGATAGGGGAAAATGGAATAGGATTCTTAACACCCACTGGGAGGTCCCTGCTGCCTTTCCCTAACCACCCACCTCCCACCCACTATGCAAACTACCCATCCTGTGACATTACCTCTGGGGCTGGCTATCCATGGGCTGCATGAGGGAAAGGAAGAAGCTAAGAATTTTGGCCACCGTGGTCCTCTCCCAACCCGGGGTGGGAATCTGTAAAATGGAGCCAGGGCACAAAAGTTAAGGACACGTGGAGGGTAGTCAGAGATGCCAAAGTAGATATCAAAGGTTGGAACAATCACAAAGGACCAAGAACCCAGAACTGGTGGCTATCTGCCCTACAGAGGATGGATAAATGGGAACTCCCTAGGGGCCGCAGTACCTATACTAGCAAACCCACCCCATTTACACACATTCTTGCTCATTCCCACACCTCCCCCAACTCCAGTTACTCTACTCACCGGAAGACCCAGTTTGACAGCATCCACAGGCTGCCGGAATGGCCAAGCAAACTGATGTTTCCATAGAGCCTTCATCACCACCTTGTGTAGGTATTGCAGCTGGTTGGTTACCCGTCCTGGCTTTTTAGGATTGGATACTTCAGGGGGCGGTGGGTTGGCAGGGGTCAGTTGCAAAGCCGGCACTGAAGCCATTGTGGGGCTTTCAAATCCCTCATACAACAGAGAAGGCTTTCGAATCCTTTTCCCTGGTGCAGCTGCCTCTGGGCCCAGCCCCAGTAACCCTGCATTCCCTTCCCCAGGGAGCCTGTGAAGATAGCACACAAAATTAGATGTGGTAATCCCGAAATCGTAAAAAGTGTAGTATGTGCTATGCATCCAATAAACCCAGGCTTTTGGACCTAATGAGGTGACTGAGCTTATGCAGGTGGTTCTCACCTAGACCCAATATCCAAATAATCTGTGGAGTTTTGTAATTGCCCACCACCTCCCTTGTCACTTCACCGAAGGGTCTGATGAGCTGCTCAGTTAAATAAAAAGATTCAATATGGCACAACATTGAGAACTACAGCCCTACAAGGATAAATCTTAAGCAAAATGGGTGGAACAGAGAAACTTAAGCGTCTTCCTCACTAGGAGTTTGGTTGTTGTCATGGTGGTTGAGCCTGAGGAAAGCCAGCAAAAAAGAGGAAGGGAACAAAACTAGGGAGAAAAACTTCATAAAAGCTGATGGAGACACCTAGGAATCCATCTGGGTAGAAGAAATCAGTATCCTTCACAAGCTGAGGCGTTAGAGCGACAGTAGATGGACTTAAAATCTAACCAAGAACCATACTAGCCAGACTAAACTCGAAAATGCAAACAAGGAAACATTTGTCAGACTCGAGTCTGGAATATCTGCCAACCCTCCAGAATCATTCACACCAAACCGAAAGTCTTCTGCCTTCAAAAACAATTTAAAAACAGCCAACAGTCTAAGTCAGCAACTCGATTCCCTTTATTGTGGCAGCACCACCTACCCCACACAACCGGTAGGAAAATACGATCCTACTAACAGTTCCCACTGTAGCATCTACTCCAGCCCATAGGCCCACTGTGATTCAAGTTCACGTCCCTCGGGTACTCCTCCAGACCAGGTGTTTCCCACCACCTGAGATTTAAGACATTACACTGAGATCTCATTGTTTACATCCGCTAAGCTTAACTGATACTTAGGCTCCACCCTCCTGCTCTGAATGAACTCCAAAGGCTATCAAAAAACAAAACAAAAAACCAAAAAAAAAACAAACCAGTCCCCTAAGCCCGTCACTGAAAGACAAACAAATTTAGTGACAGATCGTCGACATTAGGAACCGATAGGCTGGGAGAGTGATCTTTCTACCCTAGTCTGGGAATCCCCGCTGCCAATCCCTAAAGCTGTCACCATGGCAACTCTACGCGGCACTGGAGGTAGCCGCGACCCCTCTCCCCGCCAAAAACCACCAAGACAAACCATGGTTTGTCCCGCTATCCCTAAGACCTGCTTGCCCACCCCCATCTGGCTCTGCCTCAGCTACAGCTGGGCCTTGACTAATACACAAACTGACAACCTGCAGGGCGCCCATACGCAGTCCCTGGGCCGCCGCCACCGTTCCAAAACGGTCACGGAACCCCTCCGCGAGCGCCGTCAACAGCTGCGGCACGAAAGAGCTACGCGCCGGAGCCGCCCCGCAGCGCCCCCTCCCCACCGCGGCTCGCGGAGACGTACTTGTGAGGAGTCACGTTTTGCAACATCTTGACACGGGGCAACGGGCGCTGCACTCGGCCGGGTCAAGTCCGGGTGGCCTCGGCTCCCCTCACCGCCCGGCCCAGCATAACCCGGGAAGTGGGGGGAGGCCGCTGCCCTTGGCCCTCCAGGCGACAACCTCCCCGCCGGGCGGCACGAAGCGGTCTCCTCGGCGAACTCCCGGCAGCACGGCGCGCTCCGCAGGCGGACTGCAAGAAAATGGCGGCGGCTCCAGCTGAGACGGAGAACCGGAGGAATCCCACTCTTCACACCCAGCCAGTCCCGATCCTGGGCGCCGTCGTCAATACGGCCCGCGCCCGGTCTGCGGGAGTCCCCTCCTCCTGTCGGGACCGCCGGGGCGGGCGACGTCCCCTTTCGACCTCGGATGGAGGCGGATGAACACGGAAAGTGGTTTAGGGAGCCGCCACCTCCATCTTTGAAATCCTCTTGAGGGCGGAGTACAGGGGGTGGACAGACTCCGAGAATTGGGCGGGGCCCGAAAAAGGGGAGCTCCGGGGGCTTCTATGGGGTCTGTACTGTCCGCCGGGACTGGTCATAGGCCGAGACGAAGGCCATTTCCAAGCGGATGGACGTGGATTGTAATGGCGGACCCGGACGACTCCAAGACTGTATCGGTAGGCAGAACGCTCCTGCTCGTTCTAGAGGCCGCTCCACTCCAGCGCGAAATGGCGCCGCCGAGCCCCGCGCCAGCCCTTTATATATAGGCGGGGGGGAGGAGCTTCGCTGCTCATGCGCGCCACCCAGCTCCAGATTTCCCCCACCCCCTCCGCGCGCGCTCGCTCGCTCACGCGCGTGAAGAAGCAGAGTCTACGGGGGAGGGCCGCCTCTCCGCGGGAGCTTTTTCTATTGGCCAGTAGCGATGATGACGTCACAAACTTCATTTCCAAGGCGTCAGTCACCAGGCAGAAGAGTGCTGCATAGACCCACAGAGAAGGGGCAGCCCGCCATTATCTGAGCCAGTTGGCTGCGCTGTGGTTCGGCGACTGCAGGGCAAGGAGGTTGGAAGGGGTGCAAAAGCCATCTCCCCAGAGCCTCCAGCGCCATTGCCCCTCCTCCCTTTCCAACGAAGTACTCCCAGGAGGCTCCCAAGAAAGGTGCAAGTGGCGACCGCCAGCCTCGGGCAGGTCGTGCCATCCGTGGTTCCTCCTTCGGCCAGCCCGGCGGGGACACGGGAGGGGTCGCGTGGGCGTAGCCAGCCGCGGCGCCAGGGGTGTGGCTGGGCATAGCGGGCGGGCTGTTCTTGGCAGTAAGGCCTCTGCGGTGGAGAACCTGAAACAGGAAAAAGACGCCATCTTAGAAGCCTCGGCCTTCTCTTTGGAAGTAGCGGCGAAGGGATCTAACGTTCTTAGACTCGCAAGGCGAAGGATGGCTCGCCAGGGTCTCAAATCCTCTTACCCCGTCCCCAGCCAAGTCCAAAGGCTTAACAAGGCACCGAACCCGCAGTGCGTCCCGCCACCTCCACTCCCTGCTCACTCGCACCTTCGGCTTCCAACACGAACACCTGCTGCTCGAGAAAACCTCGACAGCCTACGGCGGGAGCGAAACCGCCAAACGCGCCCATATACCCACGAAACGCACCTCCACTGCGAACTTCCTTCCCGCGCGTGGCTCAGGGCGGACGAGGGGACACCTCCCCCCACCGGCTCGGGCCGTTCCCCCGCTGTCCCCGCCGCGGGGGCGGGCGGACGCCCCATCCCCCACCGGGTCCGGAGTCCTCCCCACGGAGCGGCTCGTCCACCGGTCAGCGCCAGGGAGGAGGGCGAGCGGAGGCGGCGGCGGCTGCGGCTCCACTAGCCCTCCCCCTCCTCGCTCCCCTCCCCCCGGCCGTCCGCCTCCGAGGAGGGGCAGGAGCCATTTTGGGAGCTCGGCTTGTCCCCCTCCCCCACCCACTGTCCAGGCCGCGCACAGGTCGAGTATCTGAGTGGGGAAAGGACGGCGTGCGCACAGGGCCAGGGCCCAAGGTCAGGCTCTCCAAGGCCCCTCTGGGGCTGTTCCCGCTCCTTCCCCGCCAGAGAATGCCCTTTCCCTCGCCACCAAGAAACAAGACTGTGTGCGGGTCTGGACACTAAGTAATGTCGGCTGGCGGATAAAAGGACAATTTCCCGAGCAGGGCTTCTAAGGGCCTAGGTCCTCGAGCTGCAAGCAGGCCACCCTCCCTCCGCGAGAAGCCCTTGAGCTCGAACCTTGGTTACTGCATGTGGCATGGCGGCCAGCCTCCCGTCTCCTGCAGCACCCGAGTAGGACAAACCCCGCGGGCTGTGCGCCTGGGGACCCAGACCCCGGGCCCGCCGGGGGTCAGGCCCCAGCCCCCCAGCACGCGCGCCCCGCCCGGTGGCCGCGGCGGGGATGGCGATGACACAGCAACTTTGCAGAGGCCTCCGCCCTTCCCCCCGGCGGCCCAGCCTCCCACGTCGGAGTTCCACCCGCGCCCGGGGTCAGGGCTGAGGCCCACGGGGCTGGCCGGGGAGAAAAACCAAGACAGCTGAGAAAATGCTGGGCCTCAGACAGGGCAAGGGCAGCCAGCCATTGCTCTCAGTCCCCTCCCTGCATTCCGGCAAGTCACTGCTCCCCGGGCTTCCGAGCCTCCCTTCCCCCACCTGAGTCACGGGGAGGCGACCGCGCCGCAGCAATTTGGAAAAGCAACCCTCCCCTCCTTCCCGTTCCTCCCCCGCAGCACTCCAGGCCAGATTGTGCAGGCCCGGGGGAGGGGACCGCGGAGAACCCGAAATCCCAGCACCCACTCAGCCTGGCTTCAGCTCCCATGCGGACCCCCGCTCTCAGCTGGGAGCCCCCGCCTAAGACCCTGGAGGGGACAGGGACGGCTTGTGCACGAGCCCCACAGCAGGCCGTGTCCACGTGAACGCACAGTCGGCGGAGGCACGCCATGTGATGCCTGTGAGCCTCCCACCCTTGACACAAAGAGGGCAGACATGCTCCTCCGGTCTCGGGGGACGAGGGGGCTGGCGCGGGGAACCGCCCGGGCTGCCAACTCCAAAGGCACTCACGCCGTGGGTACAACTACAGCCACCGCTCCTACTAGGTCACCCTTTCCTCGGCCGCCAAGAAGGATCCCTTCTCACCTGGCTCCAGGCTGCTGCACCCCAGGGGACGAGTGCAAGGGGGAGCACGCCGCCCCTCGCCCCTTTGCCCTCCAACTGGTGGAGGGACCCGAGGTTGGCCATTCCCCTCCCCCATCAGTGGCCCTTGGCTGCTGGAGCCCCTCCACACTCCCATTGGCTGTAAAGTGTTTGAAGGACAAGCCCTCCCCCTCAGGATTCTTTTCTGAACCCCAAGAATTACCCCCCTCGGACCCCCCACCATTGATTAAACATTTGAACGACTGACAACATCCCCGCCCCAAGGGCCCCTTCTCACCTGGATCCTTGGAACCATGGGGGGGGCGCGCCAATGTTGCCCTCGCCTTGGTGCGGGGGGAGGATGTAATCCGGGGTGTCAACTCCCCCCACCCCCCCGGAAACTGAAGCAGTGTTGGGGGAGGGGGCGTAGCCCCAGCCCCTCCCTTCCCGAGCGGGTTGGGGGGTGGGGAGAGCGTTTGGGACGCGCCGCCACGTCAGCAGCACCCAGATTGGCTGGCCCGGGTCACGTGCCCGCCCCCCTACTCTTCTTCCCCCCCATCCCCGCGATGAAGGCCAGTTTTCCAAACGTTCCTGGGGGGTCGAGGGGCCAAGGGAGCCACGTGGCCCAGGCCTATCCGCCGAGTCCCAGAGCGCGTTAATGTTGCTGCTTCTCCATAGCCCCAGCTTCCTATAGCGCTGTCGTCCACCCTGTCCCCCCCAACTCGCCTCGGTACGGGTTCAGCATGGCTGTCGCAGCCCCGAAACGTGCACAGCGCAGGCGCGAGGGTGCTACCGGACTGGGGGAGGGGAGAGGTGTGCCGGAGGCCGCCGGGAGGGCGGCGGTGCGCAAGCGCTTGAGCCCAACCACAGCTCCCGCGGTGGGGCTCCGAGCTAGCGCGGTGGGTGGGGCGGCAGCAGCGCGCGGGCCTCCCGCCTCGGCGGCCCTTCCCTCACTGTCCCGGGCCTCGAGGGGCGGCCTGAGGCAGCCGCAGTTGGTTTCTCCTGGTCTTGTGTGAGGTCGGCTAGGTGCGTCCTGGCCTGAGCCCGGAAGCGCGCGGAGCCCAAGGGCTGTCAGTGAAGGCGAGTGGGGCCTGGCTGCAGAGGAGGGTGTGCGTGGCGAGGTTAAGGCCGCGCGCGGGCTGTCGATGGCCCTGCCTTGGCTGCCGCGGGCAGATGAGGTGCGCACTGTATGTAGATTTGGACGTTTTATTCGTTTAGGTCTTAGTCTTAGGCAGTTTGTAGACTTACTCAATGAGAGTTCCAAGTTCCTGAACTACTCTGCCTTCTACAAAGTTTACCTGCTGGTCATTTTTCCTTCTGTCCTGATGAACCATTTGAAAACTCACACCCCTAAAACTTTCTCCTCTGCCCTCTCAATCTTGAGTTACTTCCATAAAAATTTAGGGATTTGTAACTTAATGCATGATTCAGTTGCCACCAAAGCAGTCCTTTAATTTGTCCCTAGTCTATTTCCTCTCCCTTTGTCACTCAAAATGTGGTCTAGATTTCCTCTGGGCATCCTCTAATCTCTCTACTAACCGACAGGTAACACCTCTCAGAACAAAAAGGACAACTTTTAGAACTACATCCTCCACCTGTAAACTGGGCCATGTTTGTATCCCATTCCCATTTTATTAGTTTTGACCTGGACACTTCCTGTTACCTGAGGCTACCCTCCATTGTGCGCCCTTTGTTTTTAACTTTTCTCTTTTCTTGGATAAAAATAAAAAAACAACCCTCTCAATAAGGAACTTACTAAAACAAACATCTCTCGGCTCCGTTGCACAGAGCCAGGACCTAAAATTAAAATTTATAGTTAACATTTTCTCTCCGTCTCTCTTTTCTGCCTCTCTTTTCTTCCTCCTTCACATTCCTGCCCTTAACTCATATCTGTCAGGCCCCCACCACAAAAACTGTTCTGGCAAATATTACCAAGAACCTAATTGGCAAAGTGAAGAATCACTTTTTTCTAACCTTATTTGTCCTTCCTGGAGCACTTGACATTTGATCATGATTCCTTCCTGATATTCTCTATATACCCTTGGTTTTTGTAAAAATCTCATCAGTTTCCTTTACTACTTGTCCAACTGTTCCAGTCTCTTTTCTGGACTCTTCCTTAGCCCCTTCCTTTTCTGAGTTCCAGCTTGCTAGGATTATGCCTGTCTGCTTTAGTTCTGTTCATCTTCTCTAGTTCATCCTTTTCAGATCTGTATCTTCCCTTCAGGCAGTTCTCCTGAGCTATGCTTCCTACTAAATATTCCTATTTAGAGAACCCTCATACTCTGCGATTTGTTCAGAGTTGATGTAATTTGTATGCGCTCTGCACCTGCTCCTCTTGTGTCACCTTAAGTGTTAGGATTTACTCAGTCACAAAGCTGGAGTCTAGGAGTCCCTCCTTGATTCCCTTTTCTCACAACTTTACATCCACCAGAATCTCATTGTTTTGCCTCTTAAATCTCCTTTAGCTCACACTTTGTGAGCTCTAAATGTTCATTGAGCCACACTTTTGTCTTAGTCCTATCACCTGGGCTGTGTTTACAGTCTCCTAAATGATTCCTTGTCTCTATAGCTGCATTGCCCAGTACAGTAATTACTAGCCATATGTGGCAATTTAAATTTAAATCAATAATAAATACAAATTTAAATTTATTTTCTCAGTGGCACTAGCCACATTTTGGGTTCTCAATTAGCCACATATGTAACTGTTGTATGGGACAGCATAGATTATAGAACATTCTGTCACTGCAAAAAAGGTCTTTTGTTACTACATTTTTTTTTTCAGTGCCAGGGAACAAAAAAATCCAGGATCTTGCACACACTAGACAAGCATTCTGCCACTGAGCTATATCCACAGCCTCCAAAAGGTCTTTTGGGCAGGGCTAGGCTTTCCTCTTGGCATTTGCCAAGAGTAAGCTTTCCAAATTTAGCTATTCAAAATGGACTGGAGGTGTAGCTCCAGCTGTAGAGTACCAGCTTTGCAAGCTTGAAGCCCTGAGTTCAACCCTCAGTCCCACCCCCCCCAAAAAATATATATAGCTATGGCTGTATATTATTGTTAAGCCCTATCTACCCCATTGCCTTTATGATAAATCTAAATTCCTGTGCTTGCCAGACTAGCCACTTCCTCTTGGCAGTATACTGCAGTCATATTGAACTGTTTTCCAGACATGCCATTTTGTTTTGTGCCTCAGTATTTTTACACATATGTTCCCACTATATGGAATAGAGTGTTCTCTAATTTATGTAAGCCCAAATACCAAAAACCTATTCTTGTCTCTGAAATGCTCATTCCTTGATGTCCCTTCCTTCTATGATTGTACTTTTTACAGTGAATGCCATTTATGTGATTATTTGTTTCTCTTTACTACTAGATTTTGATCTTGAGAGCAAGGCTTATGTTATCTTTTTTATATTTTAAATACCCACAAGTCCTGGCACAGTACTTAGGCAACATGAAGTGCTCACAAAAGGAGCAAATGTTGAAGGGAATTGATATTTGAATATGTGACTTAGGTAAAATTGTGGTGTATATGTACTGTGGGGCACCATGTAACATACTGGGGAATAATCACAGACAAGATCATTGCCTTCAGGTACATATGTGAGGCATTAGAATGGTGTGGAGAAAGATGGAAACAGAACCGGACAACTTATTTTCACAGAGCAGTGTGATCTGTGAATTCTGGTTTGTTCAGAATATAAGAGATAAGTAGATCAGGAGAATGAGAAAATCAAGGTAAATTTGTTTGTGGAGGCCTTATTATAGAGGGTTTCCAGAGTTAAGTATGGACCCAGTTGGGAGCCACTGAAAGTTTTTGACCAATGACTTCATCAGAATTACATCATTAAGTAGGAGCTCTTGTCCAGTGCTAGCACTATACATGTTAATTAACATAAAATAAAAATGTCAGTGGTTAGAAGGAGATGCATTTGATGATAGCTAACATTTATTGAGTATTTAAAATGTGTCTGGCACTGTTACACATGCCTTACTCATACTATCTCTTTTAATTCTTATAACCCTATAAAGTGAATACTAATTATTACCACCCCCGTTTTTCAGATGAAATAACTGAAGCAAAAGATGTTAAATCATTTACCTAAGGTCAAACTTTTGATAAATAGCAGAACTGGTATTTGAATCCAGGCAGTTTGCCTCTGAACGTGTTATTTAGGTTGTAAGGCACAGCAGGGAGTTTCAAATCTAGGATTGAAGTTGGAGGAAAAAAAAAAAAAAAGGAAAGGCTTATTTGAGAGTTAGCTTGGAGGTGATGTTTGAATCAGCCATAAAAGTAGGTAAGATTTATAAGGAAGGAAATATAAAGCAGTTTGATTTAGGGTTATGGATTGAACTTTGGGTGAGATCCACACGTAGGAAACAAAAACAGAAAGTGGAACCAGTGGAAGAGCATCAAACCAAGAGAAGAAGCACAGCAACATGATGTGTGGGAGGCAGAACAAGACACGGCTCCAGTGAAAGTTGTGTATGTATTGAATAAATGACTAAATCAGAAGTTCTTAAGCCTGGACTGGGGGCTTGATTCAAGCGGTTGAGCACTTACCAAGCCCTGGGTTCAATCTCCAGTACCACAAAAAAAGTTTCTAAACTTTTTTTGTGCCACAGACTTTTGTTTAGCAGTTTGAAGAAGCATTTGGACCTTACCTGGCAATATTTATAAATGCGTAAAATATAATTATCCAATTATTTTTTTGAAATGTCCTAGCTTGTAGTATGTGTTTCTGTATTAATAGTACAATTCAGTGTTTCTTTACTTTAATACATTAAGTAACATGATTTATTGGTGGGTTTAACAACTCCCAGATTATAGAGATATTTTGAGGTGTCCATAATGCTATAATGTGATATGAAAATATTGATAGTGATTTCTGTTAATGACAATTGTGCAAATACTGCTAATAATTCAAAGATTTCTATGTACACTCATTAAATTTCAGTTCAAGTTTATTGAAAATAAAGGTGACTTTTAAAAATTCCACACAAGTTCTTGGACCACTCTGAATTCTGTTACAAGTAGACTACAGTTAGATGCCCCTGTTCTGATTGAATACAAAGTAAGATTCTGTAGATCAATATAAGGGATGAAGAAGAAAGGAAAACTCGAATTAATGCTACAGTTTGAAGATCCCTACCAAAACTCCTATTGAAGTTTCAGCTTCATTGTGAAGTGCTAGAGGAGTTTATGAAGGCTCTGTCCTCAGGGATGAATTAATTCATGAATTGTGGATTAATGGATTATCATGGAAGC